TATATACAATAGATTTTTTTCAAGATGATTAATTAAATGCAATACAATAGACAGTTAGCAGCTTTGAGTTATACTTATTAGATTATGGCCACATTGTTGTGGGATCTTTCCAAACAGAGCACACATACAATTAAAGAAACAAAAATGCATTGCAAGATAAAATGGAGTCATATGGATAAAGCTCTTTTAAAAGCTTAAACACAAAGCATCCTTCCCCATATTACTGTGGTGTATTATATCCCAGGAGACATGTATAACAACAACTTTGTTTTTAAAGTAACTTCTTATACGGTGACTGAATGTAAAAAGTGCAAGGCATTGGAAAAACAAGTCCTCATGCGATAGACCAGGGGTCGGCAACCTTTCAGAAGTGGTGTACCGAATCTTCATTTATTCACTCTAATTTAAGGTTTTGCATGCCGGTAATACATTTTAATGTTTTTTAGAAGGTCTCTCTCTATAAGTCTCTATATTATATAAATAAATTACTGTTGTATTGTAAAATAAACAAGGTTTTCAAAATGTTTAAGAAGCTTCATTTAAAATTAAATTAAAATGTTGATCTTACGCCGGTGGCCTGCTCAGCCCGCTGCTGGTCTGGGGTTCTGTTCACCTAGGCCGGCAGCGGGTTGAGCGGGGCCTGAGGCCAGGATCCCGCCTGGCAAGGGTCCGTCAGCCAGAACCCCAGACCGGCAGAAGGCTGTGCAGGGCCAGCGGCTGGGACCCCAGACTGGCAGTGGGCTGAGCCGCTCAGCCCACTGCCACTCAGGGGTTCCATCCGCTGGCTCCTGCCACCCGGGATCCCGGCTGCCGGATCCGCTCAGCCCGTGCCAGTCTGGGGTTCCGGCCCTGCCCACATACAGTGGGTACCTACCTTCTCCCTGGTTCTGGCCCATTCTCTTCCTCTCTCTGCTCTGAGCTGAGGATGGGAGTGCACTGAGCACAGGGCTGGGGGTGAAAGGTCTGGCCAGGAGCTAGAATGAGGGAGGGGGCTCAGGGTTGGAGCAGGAGGTTTGGATGTGGGGCTCTTACCTGGGCAGCTCCCATTTGATGCGAGGGTTGCAGGTGGGAATGTTTGGGGAGGGGGGGTGCAGGAGCTCCTGTTTGGTGCTCAGGGCAGGGGCCTGGGGTGTATGCGGGGTGCAGGACTCAGGGCAGAGTGCTGTATGTGTGTGGGGGGAGGGAGGTCAGGGCTCAAGGCAGAGGGCTGGGTGACTGCCCCCCTCAGAACCTTCAACCCCCCCCACTCCTTGTCCCCTGACTACCTCCTCCTGGGACCCCTGCCCTTAACTGCCCCCCAGGACCCCAACTCCTATCTAAGCTTCCCTGCTCCTTGTCCCCTGACTGCCCCCCTAGGACCCAACCCCCTACCAGTCCCCTGACTGCCCCGTCCCTTATCCACACCCCCACCCCCAGACAGACCCCCGGGACTCCCATGCCTATCCAAATATTCCCCACTCCCTGACAGGACCCCCAGAACTCCTGACCCATACAACTCCCCCCGCTCCTTGTCCCCTGACCACCCCCTCCAGAGACCCCCCACCCTAACTGCCCCCCCCAGGACCCTCCTTGCTCCCTGCCCTGACTGCCCTGACACCTATCCACCCCCCACCCCCTGACAGACCTCAGGACTCCCATGCCCCATCCAACCCCCCTGCTCCCTGACTGCCCCCTCCAGAGATCCCTCTGCCCCTAACCACCCTGCCCGGGATCCCACCCCCATCCAACACACCCTGCCCTCTGTCTCCTGACTGCCCCCACCCCTTATCCAACCCCCCCGGCCCCCTTACCATGAGGCTCCAAGCAGAGCCAGATATGCAGCCCCGCGGGAGCATGCAGCCCCGCCTCTCAGAGAACTGCGCGCACGGCGGCAGGGCTCAGGTTGAGCGGGGAGCATGTCTGCCTCCCCACGGAGCCAAACACGGCCCCGCGAGAGCGCGCAGCCCCGACCCCCAGAGCGCTGCGCGCGCGGCGGCAGGACTCCAGGGGAGAGGGGAAGGCGGGGGAGGGGCCGGCGGCTTGCTGAGCTCGGATGGGCGCTCCGGCCTGGAAGCGCGGACCCTGTGGCTTGCCGCGCCAGGATAGTGGGCACCACATGCGCATGCCTATGTTTCTGCTCCCTGCCCCCGCGTGGGGAGCGGAGGGCAGAGGAAAACGGGCCGGGCTGGGCAGGATTTTTAATGGCACGCTGGAGTCTTGCATGCTGTCTTTGGCACGTGTGCCATAGGTTGCCGACCCCTGCGATAGACCTTTCAACAATAATTTGTATAATGTACTAATATGCTATAATGGCAACTTTCTCCTTTTATTATTTTTTCCTTCAAGGTAAAATAATGATCATAATGGGGGAACTAGATGAAAATATTGACCATGTGTAAAATCACTTAATTTATGAATATTTCCAGTGGAATAATTTTGCACCATTTTCATGAAGGAAAAAAAAATATATTCCCATACAAGTACTGTAGTGCAATATCTTTATCTTGAAAGTGCAACTTACAAATGTAGAATTATTTTTTACACAACTGTACTCAGAAATAAAACAACGTAAAACTTTAGAGCGCATAAATCGAAGCATGAAGGGGCATATGAATGTATAGCATATCCTGCACATAGATACCGTGCAATGCCGGCTTATAACAGTGCTATGTGAACACCTGTTCTCACTTGCAGGTGACATTATAAATAAGATGCACGCAGCATTATCTCCTGTAAATGTAAATAAATGTGTTTGCCTTAGTAATTGGCAGAACAAGAAGTAGCACTGAGTGGACTTTTATGAGGTGAATTGAAAAATACCATTTCTTTTATTTATCGATAGGGAAAATATTTGTAATAAAAAATAATATAAAGTGAGCACTGTATACTTTTTATTCTGTGTTTTAATTGAAATCGATATATTTGAAAATGTAGAAAAAACATCCAAAAATATTTATAATATATTTAAATTGGTATTCTATTATTAACAGTGTGATTAAAACTGATTAATCATGATTTTTTTAAAACCTAGTTAATTTGTTTGTATTAATTGCATGTATTAACTGCATTTAATTGAAAGCCCCAAATTTAAAAAATATGAAGAATTTAGAGAAAAAGATTTGCAAATATCAGAATATTCCAGATCAGCTTTTACTGAAAGAAAAGGACCAGATCATGATCCTAGCTATGGCCCCTTTGCACAGCTTCAATAGATGCAAAGGGGTCAGGACTGCTCTAAATTACAGTTGTGATGTAATACTCCCTAAAAGTATTATTATGCCAATTGGAAATTGGAGTGCAGTGAGGCAATGTCTCCTCTGCCCCCCAAAATCTCTTTATAACAAGGGGCCAGAAGGAGGTGACACAGAGCCAGCAGTGGTCCTAGTCATTTTGCCACCCAGGGTGAAAAATCTTTTTGGCCCTTCTCTGCCCTCCTCATCAAAGCAAACAAATGCTGGTACAGTCATTTGGCATTTCCTGAAATATGATGAATTGACAATGTCCTACCCCCTACCCTCCAGAATTTTCCATGCTCAGAGCTGTCTAGGCTGGCTCTATGCCAGGTAGCAATTCTCGCATACCAGATGAATCCTCATGTCTGTTTAATGAACTTTTACAAACTCTTTGTAAAGAAGAACAAAAATTATGCTCAAAGCACGAAGTCATAGGAATCATGGGGCTTCATTCAAATCTGATATATGGAAGAGACACTATGCTTTAAGTAAATAGGGAAAAGGGAAAAGAGCTTAGTGGTTCTTGATAATAGCACAAATACAACTACTTTTATGATCCAATTTACTGTAAATTAATGGACTTGCTCTACTTTGTGTGGCAAATTGCCGACACTACTATGATGGGGTCTCACGCTTTCTCTTCTTGGGGAGCGGGGGGGGGGGGGAAACAGTTCAGGACACCATTTCTTGCCCCTGAACTGGGATATTAACAGTAGAGGGAGGGACCCAGGCCCGCCCTCTACTCCGGGTCCCAGCCCAGAGTCCCAAGGGACAGGAGGAACTAGTGGTTCCTTCCCCTGGGCTACTTCCCTCTCCTGCCCTTCAGCTTGTGGAGGCTTTCTGCCCTCCCTCTACACAAGCCAGGTGTCCCTTTACCTAGGGTCTTGGTCTTCTTAGCCCACCACAGCACGTCTCCAAACTTTCCTCTGCTTCCCTCCAAACTGCTCTCTGCTCCAACACCAATCCACTCTGTTTCTACTCCTTCAAACTGTTCTCTGCTCCAACACCTTCCCCTGTCTGACTGAAGCAGGGGTTTTTTATCGGGTGACTGGCGTCAGGTGCTCTAATTGGCTTCAGGTGCTTTAATTAATCTATAGCAAACTTTCTTCCCTCTACAGGGAATAAGGTTCCCTTCTAACCCTCTCCTGCTGCCCTCTGGCCATGCTGATCGCACTTGATACTAGTATAACAGAGCAAAACGGCATCAGGGTTTTTTAAATGAAGTTGCAAAAAGAAACAAAAAAAATTTTCTTCTGAGGATTTGAAACACCAAAGTAGAGCATTAAATCATGAATGCATGCTCTCATGAACTGCATGCTGTATTCATTAAGATTATCTGCCATCATCTCGCAGTGTGGGGTAGCAGACTAAAATTGGATTATCAGGACTAATATTTTGATTCACAACTAAGAAACAGTTTTAAATGTTCATTTTTTTTATTCCCTACCAGAATAAATTAATTCTGGGAATGATTCTTTAAGGAACTTTACCAATTTTCCTCTTAAAATACACCCTAACATTTTTCTATCAATACAATTTTATATATATATATATATATATGTGAATTACATTACTCATTGTGGATTGAAAATGCATGACAAATAAGAGTGAGTAAAGCAACTGCTGGGGAGGGTTATGAAATAATGACCCAAAATAAGAAGAATTATTAATGGTGTTTACCATAAGAGACAGATAGCAGGAAAGGTAAACTAAGGTGGTTTAAAAAAAAAGAATACACATGCTAGTTTTGTACAGTGTGTATGTACTGAAAAGAAGAACTTCACTTACTGGGTCATTAGGATTGTACTGGATGATATATTCTATCTGGCCATTGGGACCATCATCTATGTCCATGGCACCATTGTTCCCAGAGAATCCTGTAAAGATGGTGGTTCCAACTGGTGTTAACTACAACAAAAACAAAAAGAATATACACACTTCAAATACGCTTGGAAACTACAGAAAAAAAATAAAGGCTGCCATTCCCTCTCCCAAATTTTTGTGCTAAAAGTTCAAAGAAAATATGGGGATAAGTTATAGACCCAATACTTTAAGTCTCTGTTTTAGATCATGTTATTTCCTCGAAAGAGGATTAAAACCATAAATGGGGTTGACTCATATAACTTCCATGTATCAAGATAGTAATCTCTGTATTGATATACTTTTGAGTTAAGGGCCAACAAGCTTTGGAAAGGAAGAGAAAAGAAGAAAGGGGAAGAAAGGGCAAATGAGAAAATAAACAACTGACTCCCTCTTTAGATTGGGGAAGTGTAAACAAAGATGTCAATTTAAAAAATTAAATATGCATATATTATACAATGCATTTCATGGAAACGTTGAAAGTACAGTGCAAGATAAATTATATATACACATGTAAAACAGAATATTTATAGCTTTAGTAAACTTAATATATACAAAAAAAAGAAGAGATTTTAATACTCATTCCAAACAGATACTCTGAAAGCCAACAGAGTTCTCGCTACTATGGTACAAAAGCAATGACAATGTTTCACTATATTTTGCTAGGGACAATTTTACACCCCATAAATTTTGTTTTGAAAATACTGTTTTCCAAACTATCCTAGCAGAGTTGAGCAGCTAGGGTGAATTCTTGCCCCTTTTGAAGTCAATTGCAGAACTCCCATTGACTTCAGTGGAGTCAGAATGTCATCCTTGATGTTCAGAGATAGTCTGGAAACAAAACCAAAATAAATGAACCAAAACCCTAATTTGGATTGTAAATATAAACAGAAAATTATTTCAGATTAGAAATTAACCACCAACGGCATTATTGGACCAATTTTTGCTCTCTTGTAAAACTCTAGAAAACAGGATATGTCCGGAGGATACCACTTGGAGTCAGGGGAACAGAATCCCCTATTCAGGAAAGAGAGCATCAGAGCAGGCACTCCAGCTCACCATTAGCTGAAGTAGTAGTTACTGCCTCCACAATCCCATTACACAGGGAGTTTTAGCCACTGTTTTTTCCCCAAACTCCCCAGCCATGCTGCTAAGACAAAGCTGAGCTGCCACAAAGTAATTCTCCTCAGAACGTAGGGTCCAACACAATACCAGTTTTATTGCTTTTCAGACTTCGTGTGCAAGCAAAAAGAGAAAAGGATTTGTCCCACAGAATTTATTAAAAAACAAACATTTCTGGAATAAATGCAAAATATAATAGCCACATTGCCACATTACATAGTTAACAATACACAGCAAATAATTAGTATCTGCCAATTTGCATTGTTTTCTCCTGTATCCTTGGTTCAGAGGTTGCGTGATCCTGGTTTGATTTTTAAAACTTGTTATTTAGGAAGTTTTGATTTCTGTAATCAATATTTTCAGAGCTAACAATAATTAAGCTTTAGAATAAAACCCATTTCTTTGCAGAGTCTTGTTTAGGATAACAGTGTGTACAGTATATTTTTTTTAATGCCAAACCACATTATATATACTTAAACCATAACTATATTTTTTTTGCTATCAACTTGATTTGCCTGCTAGTGTCCTAGGCTGTAAAAATACTATCAATGCAATACAAGTTGTGAATAAGAGAGTTGACTACCCCTCAGTTCCTATTAATTGCTTCCTTACATCAGTCTCCATGGAGTTCATTACCTTGTGATTTGCACCCAAGACTCATTACCTTAAATCTCTGTTGCAAGAGCAAACTTAAAAAAAAACAATTAGGAAAACAATTGTCTCAGAAACTTGGATGAAGTTGTACAAAATCAGAGCTAAATGCCATGAACCAAGTTGGATATATTACTGTTTTACTATTAAGAACAGTATTTTTCAGGATTCTTTCTTATTTTTTTAAACAGGCTATAAAGAAACAAAGCAAAATAATCAAAAGAGACTTCAGATATTTTATGGTGAAATGTGAAACTTTTTATTAAAATAAAATATTTGACATTAGTCATTGAAAAGATATTTGATTTTCACAATAAGTTAAGATGTATTGTTTCAAGGAGATGTTCATCATAGTGGGTGGTCTGAGGGTCAGTACATGATGGAGAATGCGGACACACAGTCAGAATGGTAAAAAGCTGCAGAGCTCCCTGGAAAAAAATAGGAGGAAGTGACTGAGATGATGAGATGTGTATGCCCATAAAGGGCTAGCATGGAGAGGGTTAAGCACTCGTTACAATGCAGGATTTATCAGCAGAGCACTGAGCTGGGGCAGCTATGATGAGGTAAGTAATTTCACGGTACTCTATAAGAGAGCGGCTTTCTCAGACTTGGACTTGACTTCAAGAACCAGGCACTCACAGCAGAGGGAAAAAATTACTAGTTGGAAAACAAATTATAGCTGTCCAAAGCCACCCTCTTCAAGTATGTGAGACTAAAAACATAAAATTGGAAAGAAAAGAGTCAGCAAGCAAAGCTAACTAAGGCAGAACTTGTAAATAAGCGCAGGCCACATTGTAAAAGGATGGCAAGATTCCGATTCAGATCAACGGAGGGGCTAGGATTCCAGCTCCTGGAGTCAAAAGTTTACACAAGAATCTCAGTTTGTTTCTTTTTAAGTAAGTTTCTAGAACTAATGGTTGAAGTAAAAAAAAAAAAAGACTGATTCAAGGCCAGATTTTTTAATGTATTTAGGTGTTTAAAGATGCAAATAGGCACCCAACTGGATTTTCAAAAGTGCTACAAAAGTAGGAGCTAGGCATCTAGGAGGCTATCTCCATCTTTAGGTGCCTAAATACCTTTAAAAATCTGGCACTCAGTGAAGAAAGTATAGATCATTTAACTCTACTCTGAAAACAAGGGAGATTGGGATATGGAACCTATGAGCAGCTAAGCCTAAGGAGAAGGGTATGGTTCATACAGTGCTATTTTGGAATCAATGTTCTGTTAATAAAGTGAGGCATCAAAAAGGGTGATTTTTTCTTCAGAGTTGTAGGTTTTGTTTGCAGTTGGGTGGGAGTAATTATGATGACTAGAGAGCACTCTCCCATAAGTATAGCGTGTCTTCACCACACGTGCTGCAGCTGAGCCTAGCGCGCTAGTGTAGACTTGCCCACAGGTTTAGGGACACTTAGATCAAAGAGTTGTGTCCCTGACCATCCTAGTTAATAGCCATTGATAGAGAAGTTCATGGAGGGTAGCTCTAACTATTTTTTGAACCCAGTAATACTTTTGGCCTTCACAACATCCCATGTTTAACTTCTTCTCATTTGGAAGCCGTTCCATATTCCTAAACATTTCCCTCCCTTTCTCTTTACTTTTTTACAGTTCTAATACATCTGTTTTGAGATGGGGAGACTGGAACTGCACACAGTATGCAAGGTGTGGGAATACCATTGATTTAATACAATGGCATTGCAATATCTTCTGTCTTACTTTCTATCCTTTTCCTAATGATTCCTAACATGTTAGCTTTTTGACTGCTACTGCACATGGAGTGGATGTTTTCAGAGAAGTATGCATGATGTTTCCAAGCTCTCTCTCAAGTGGTAACAGCTAATTTAGACCCAATCATTTTGTATTTTGTATGTTTAGTTGGGATTATATTTTCAAAAGTCATTACTTTGCAAATATAAACATTCAATTTCATCTGCCATTTTTTGCGCAGTCACACAGTTTTGTGAGATCACTTTATAACTCTTGGTAGTCAGCTTTTGACTTAACTATCGTAAGTAATTTGTATTGTCTGCAAACTTTGTCACCTCACTGTTTATCCCCCTTTTCTAGATCATGTATGAATATATTGAACAGTCCTGGTCCCAATACAGATCCTTGGGGGATTCCACTATTTATCTCGCTCCCTTGTGAAAACTGACCATTTATTCCTACCCTTTGTTTCCTGTCTTTTAACCAGTTACTGATCCATGAGAGGACCTTCTCTCTTATCCCATGACCGCTTACTTTGCTTAAGAGCCTTTGGTGAGGGCCTTGTTAAAAACTCCAAGTACACTGTATTCACTGAATCACCCTTGTCCACATGCTTGTTGAATACCTCGAAGAATTCTAATAGATTGGTGAGGCATGACTTCCCTTTACAACAGATGTGTTGACTCTTCCCCATCATATTGTTTTCATCTATGTGTCTGAGAATTCTGTTCTTTATTGTAGTCAACCAGTTTGCTTGATACTGAAGATAAGCTTATGTCCTACAATTGCCAGGATCGCCTCTGAAGCCATTTAAAAATGGTGTTACATTAGTTACCCTTCAGTCACCTAGTACAGAGGTTGATTTAAGCAACAGAATTACATAACACAGTAATTCTGCAATTTCATATTTGAGTTCCCTCAGAACTCTTGGATGAATATCATCTGGTCCTGATGACTTATTACTGTGTAATTTACAATGTGATCCAAGACCACTTATCTTGAACCACAGACATGCAGCCCAAAGAAACTACCATTCCAGCATGCAATGCTCCATGTTTTTAAGTTGCAAAGTGGAATCGTATGCTGGAACCTGTAGCCTCTATAGACCATACCAATATTAATCAGTAGTGGTTGCTGTTATTTTTTTAGTACAGAGTAAGTTGCTAATGAAGCCCTCACTTAGACAAAGCTTTGTGGTCACTGCCTTACACATTGGAAATGGTCTTAAAATCTGTGTCTATCTAATCATTTATTTTACTATGTTTGCAGTTCTGTGAGTGAAAGTTGTCAATGTATTAAGGGGAGATGATGTGACATTTTGTATTTCTTACGGCTACTACTTAAATAGGCTTGTTTCATCTCTGAATTCTCTGGCCCCTGAAAAACAAATGCCACTGACAATGTTAACTTTCAAACATGAAGTGCATTTCATTTCCCTTGTGCCTGTTTCTTTCAAGAAAGTCATACAAAAGTTATTAAAAATTGGCAATACAGTCACCATTAAACTTTTTAAACTTGTCATTTGCAGGTCATTAACATCCCCATCAGATTCCCTATAAGTGCATGA